TATTATACGTGATGTACTTTTTTTAGGGGGTGGATAATGAAAGTGTTCCAAAACGAGACATTACTTTCTTGACGACCGAATGTTAACAACTGGAAAATCTAATTAACTTCATAACGTGAGAAAGCATTTCTTGTCTCTTCACAGGTGATGCAGATTGCTGATAATGTATTAGAGGACAAAAGTCAGATAAAGAGAATTTCAGAAGGTCGCTACAGTATTGCTGGGAAAGGTGTTTTTGTGAGAGTAAGGACAGAAAACTTCTGATTATAATTTCATATTCTCTTTTATTATGATATTATGTTTTTCATTAAAAGGAGAGAGATATATAGAATAATATAATATTTCTGAATGAATAATGCATTGTTACAGTGTTAAATAAAGCCTGTACTGTCTATCTCTCTGCATGACTAATCTGGATATAACTGTTCTTTAAGCTGGGCAACAGTATTTATAACTTAACTATATTTATGAACTTTCAAAGAATTTCGAAACAAAAGATATGTGAAATATTTTTTAAATGTTGAATAAAAAAAAGAGCAGTTTATATTTTTGCTTAAGATCAATGTTGACCTGCTACATAATATATATTTTACTATGCCTGATAACTTTACTTTGAGTAAGGTACCACTCCTCTTCTGAAAAAGATCATTATTTCCTTTATAAATTGTTGTTACTTGTAAGCAATGTTATTCACTGCATGTCTTGAAATTATGAACTTTTCATTGAATGCTTATTTCAATTACTGGAGAAGATGTTTGTGAATACTAAGAAACTAAGCAAGATAACAAAAGGAAATAACAAAAACAGAACCTAAAAACTAAAATTGAAAATAAAATACATACAATTAAGAATGTGAAAAATGTACAGTAATATAAGAAAAAAAAAGAATAAGAATAATAGAGAAAAGTAAACAAAATTGTTTAATAAAATGTTTATGTGCAGTTAAGTTAGTTTTGCATATGTTCTGTTATACAACTCCCTACAAATTAGGGTCTTTATCATGATTGCCCCCAGTGGCTCAGCGCTAAGTCTGAAAAATAATAACGCCAAAAACTGAGTTTCGATACCCGTGGTGGGCACAACAGGTAGCCCATTGTGTAGCTTTGCGCTTAAGTACAAAAAATAAACTTTTCATATTTATTTTTGTTAACGACGTAATTACTCTAATATAAGGTTAAATTATTGAATCCTTCAAATATTGCTGGTTTTCTACTAATTGTTTCTTATACTGTTTTTTTTTCTTTATAAACTATGTCTTTGTGTAATGAGATAATTTATTGAGCTTTCTGTTGGCACATTTTCAATCTATGGTGCTTAAGAAGTAATTCGTGGATTTTGTTATATAAGCTTAATTAGTTAACAGTTGGAGTATAATCTAGAATTTAATACTTAACACTCTACTGTTCAGTCTAATTACTGTTTTGTTTTATTGTTTTGGTTTAGAAGAAAACTACACGATGGGTTATCTGTACTGCATTTGCCATGGAGTTTTAACCCCGAACTTTATTGTAATATGCTCTGAAGCTTACTACTGATCTACTAAGAAACCACACTAAAATATACATGTTCATTCTACAAGTTCTTGGTTCTTCTTCTACAATTTAGGAGTTCGTGATTGTTTAATTGTCGTAAATATCTAGGCTTTAATTCCTTTTATTATTACAGATTTATATATTTTAATTCTAGTGTTTACACTTTCGAAATTACGAACTTATATGGCTTACCTGTAGAATATTATTATCCATTCTTTAAAACGATAGGTTTTATAACGATATAATGTGTTGACAATTTTTCAATGTTGGAAAAGCACAGGACGAATAATTCATGTGTTGCATTCCATGAAATTAGCTATATATTACACTAAACATGATCACTGAAAGTCAACATTAACTGCTTATAACAAATAACAAAAAGATAAGTTTTCCATAGTCAAGGACAATTACTGTTATAATTTAACACAATGTAAAATTCCAATGATCGTTCATCACCGAGGTTTGGTACGAAAAGAATATACATTTTCTTTACATCAGACTTATCTCTCGGATGATCGAGAACGAATAAGAAAGTCATTGATTTTCCCGTCACACTACAGTTTTTACTTGTTTAAAGATCTTAATTATGAATATTAATAAGTAGCTTAGAAACTTGAATATTCTGAACACTTCTTCACCGAAGGAGTAGAAAAGCGTTCAGTTGATGTTCGAGCTTAAGTGATCATATAGTGTGAAGCTGCTACAATAGAGTTTCAGTGTAATCCAGAAGTAAGCAATCAACTGAAGTCAGTTAAATACTTAATTTAATTTAGAGTTATTAATTCAAGAAAAAATTTCAAATTAACTATAAGGGCCGGTATGAATCGCAAGTAGTCTATACGTGATGTAGATTAGTAAGCTTTAGGCTCAGTAAAATTGAGATGTGCGTATACTGAGGCTTGAGTAAAATCACATATATGATATAAAAACCTACTAAATAGAAAATAACGTCAACATATATTCGTATAGTCTTTTTTCCCCTTTAAAAATCACTAAATCCAGTACTACCACAGATACTATACCAAATCCAAAACTCTGACGTTTGTTTTGCCTGTTTTCTTAATGCTGTCTCGTGCTACATTCACTTAGCCAAATTGGTAAAGTTAAGTTATAAACTAATATTTCCTTCGAATACGCGTAATTCCATATATATTTTCATTCTGTAAGAATTCTGTACTTTTCAAATCTTTTTCAAAATATTCTTTTTCGTTTCCTCTATCTTTATTTTAATACCCCCCAGTGGCACAGCGGTATATTTGCGGACGTACAACGCTAGAAACCAGGTTTCGATACCCATGGTGGGCAGAGCACAGATAGCCCATTGTGTAGCTTTGTGCATAAATTCAAACAAACAAACATTATTTTAACTATTCTTATAAAGATATTGCTTTGTGTGCTTAACGCTCTTTTTACTGCCTCACTCTACGTTTCACATTTTATTTTGAAGCTTATAGTAAACAAGTGTAAATTATATTCGTGTCTGAAATTAAGTTATCGAAAATTATACTTAGTTGAATTAGTTTTATCTCTTATCTCTAATTTAAACTCTTTTTGTCTTCACTTTTGATTAAACTAAACCATTAATTGGTTCGAATTTAATACACTTATCTTTATAACGCTGTTGTCTTTCATGCACATTTTTCAAACGTTTCTTAAGCATATGATTTCTTCAAATTTATTAATACAGTTGCTTGTGGATTAGTTCTTTGCGTTATTTTTTATTAAATCAGAGTGTCATTTTATATATATTTCTATAATTCATTTGGCAATAAAATGGTTAATTTTTATATTATACTTAGATCTGTTAGAGGTT